ATGTTTGTGGTTGTAATGTGACAAAATATGGAAAAGTTCAAGGGGTATGAATACTTTTGCAAACCACTGTATACCACACAGCCCTAGATTCAGGGTGTTTCACAGTTAAAATACTTTGTAATGATTTAAATGTGATTTACTGTAAGTTTCCTGTTTTCTCTGTATTTACTCTGCATCTTGTCTGTTCCACGTCAGTTCATCAATCAAGAAAAGCCTCACTTTCCCACATTTTTTCTAACACTAACAAATATTTTATATTTTTAGGAGATATATTTTACGACACCTAAATTTTACAATTTTCCTGGAGTATGTATTTACCTGGTGCACAATTCAACAAATCCAGCCAATATGTGACAAGAGACTAAAACTGTATTATTTCATCACATATGTTTAAACACATATATGACATCATAAATGTTGAAGTTAAAGTTATAAATACAACAAGAGAGCTGCAGCTGTGTACTTACCCAGTTCATTTCTGTTGTGTTAGAGCAAATTTCATTTATTTTTTATTTTATATTAACCGGATCAAATTATTGTGGGGGTCATAACTCCCTAATCCCACTGCATTTACAGATTCACTGCAGGTCTGTTATTTACTATAATACCTGCTGAGAAAAGTACAGTTTTACACACATGATACAACAGAACATTTGTAAATATATATATTTTCATATTTAAGTTATCTGCCTAATAGTTCTAAAAATATAAACAGCCTGCTTTTTAATTTTAATATCTATCTAATCTACTTGTTCCTTGTGTTAAAATGGTTAAATGATTAATTATTAAATTCTTCTAAACAGTTTTTTTTCTATCTGGTTTACTTTTCTTTAAATTTCCTTCGTAAAAATCCATAAAAATTCTGTGAGAAGCAGGAAAATCCTTATTTTATTAAATAAAATATGAAGCTGAGAGAAATGTGCTGCAGGTTTTTCTCAGTTCTTGTGGGCTTTAGAGTTTGATATTTGCTGCTGGTTGTGTATTTATTCATGAAGGCAAACAATGTTTTTCTATCAATATTTTTGTCCCGTACTATATTGTGTTGTCTCATACAAGCAGCATGAAAGAGGTCAGACAGTGTGTTTAGTGCGTTTGTGTGTGTGTGTGTTTTATTGACACACATTGATGGTTTTATCCACACAGAACAACAATATTCTGACTTTATGAGTTAGACATGTTGTTTCATGAGGTGTTTCTGCTGGTTCGATTAAACCTTTCAGTTTAAATAGAACATAAAGCAACAAAAAGCTACATCCATTACCCTGTTAGCTTAGCTTAGCTTAGCCTCTAATTCAGAAACATGGCTCATCTCATGATGCAGTCATGCTGTTTTTATCAGCAGGAGTTTGAGACAAAAATGACCAAAAAGAAAAAAAAAGGGAGTTGGTTTATTTAGAGAAGTCTCCAACATGTTTGTTGACATGTTTACGTCCCTGCTGGAATGTAAACATCATCCAGATGTGCTCCTTCCTCAGAGGACTCATCTGCTCTCCACCATGGTGTGAAGGGTTTGCTCAGCCCTCAGAGGAGTCTTGATTTTGTCCCGTCTTGTTTCTGAGTTTCACTGGAAGGAGAACCCTCGTCCAGCAAGTTGAACCTCTTCCCACGCTCTGCCGCTCTGTTCGCCCTGCAGCCTGACAGGGAGGACATCTAAAGTTTTTAAATAAAACACTGCAGCTGAGCAGGAGGAGGTGAAACAGGAGCGTTTAGCTTCGGTAATAACCTTCAGGACTATAATTGAATTACAGATTTCCACACAGATTTACTAGTTCCAGGTTTGCAGAGGGACAAGTCTGAACATGTTCAGAAAGAAGACTTTCCATCTGCAGCTGCTCTGTTAATATTAAACACAGCAGCACAGAAACGTCACATTTAGTCTGTGTTTGTGCTTTAGAAACATCTCCTGAACCACTGGAGGGATTTTAATTACATTTCCCTAAAAAACAATTATTGGATGTTTGTCTACATCTGATGAAGGTTTGGAGTCGACCTGATTCATGTCTGCTGCAGCTAATCACACAAAGCAGGCTGTGACTCAGTCAGATTTACAGACACTGGGCTGTAATGAGTTGTGGTAGTAGCTGAGAGTTGTCCTCATCGTGTACAAGGGCTGTGTATTGGCAAGAATTTGGTGAAACAATACGTATCATGACAGAGGGGCCACAATACGATATATTGCAATTTTTTGTCCAAAAATTCTATTTAAAAAATCTCAGATTGATTTGTATGTATTTTGTTTCATATTTCTTATTTCATCCATGTTTTCAATTATTAGACTAAATTTGCCAATAAATAGTTTGAAAATATAGTTTTTAGATTTTACACTTTAATTTGGTTTAAAATACAGACATTCTGACTAATAAGGAACTGTAACATTACCTCATCTTAGAAGCTAGTGGGTGACGGTCTTTTCCACTCACATTCAGCTATCGGTGCATGATGCTAATGTTTACTCACAATGGCTGTGTCCAAAACGGCAGGACGGGTCCTCCGAAGGCCGAATTATTCGGCCGCATACGTCACAGCGCCGTGACAAAGGACGTCCAAAACCGAAGACTCCTCCGATGCGGCCGACAAATACGTCCTTCCTTTGGC